CCCCCCTCGATTGGGGTGGCGGTTGGTTGTTTTAAATGCTCTGTTTTTTTTGTTGTAGTTTTTTGTTTCCCTTCCCCTCCTTGGGGTTGTGCGCCGCCCTGAGTCCTGTTGGGAATAGGGTGGCATATAAATAAAATGAACCTCGAACCTCAATGCAGTAGTCCAGAGGTGGTATTCAGTCAGTTCTAACAGGTTCTGGAGAACCAGTAGCGGAAATTTTGAGTAGTTTGGAGAACCGGCAAATAGACTGGCCCCGTCCCTGCTGCCTTCCAGCTGATCTTTTTTTGTTGAACAGGAGAACAGAAAGCAGGTTAATGGGATGCGGTGGCAATGGGGATTTTGCGGTATCCTTCCCCTGCCACGCCCACAAAGCCACGCCCACAAAGCCGTGCTATGCCCACAAAGCCACGCCCACAGAACCGGTAGTAAAAAAATTTGAATCCCATCACTGCAGTAGCCCTTATTCCACCCTGGACAAATAGTTGCTCAACCTATTCTTGAAAACCTTAACAAATACAGCAAAAGAAAACAAGTGGTGGAGAATAGACAGTTTCACGTTAACTGTGGCTAGAATAAGAATGTTGAGCTATTACGTAGCTCTGCGTGCAGGTATGTATGTGTTTATAGGTACACCTCCATTCCCTCCTCTGGATTCAGTAGCATGAGAAAAGGGTATTTAAACATCCTTCTATGATCCTGTACAATGCCCTTAGCACTGGAAAACAGCTTCCACTGGAATAAATAGATAATTGCATGCATGTTAACTCAAAATTAATTAGAACTCTGGGAATTCTAGTCACATAATAACTAGAAGATGTTGGGCTATGGGAGGATAAACGAAGAAAGAGAGCTTGAGTAAACCTGTGTTTTATCCATGACATTCTAGAACTCTTTTAAGTGTTGCTTTTTGACAAGAAAACAATGAAATTCTACTGACACAGTAAGTGGTTAAAAACTATTTTTTCTCTTACTTAGTGGTTTGGAGACAATGTTTTAGGAAAGTGTCTCATTTTCCAGTGGAGTGAGATTACATAATGCCATAATCCATTTACATTCCAAGTATAACTATTTCACTTTAAGATCTCCTTCCATAGCAGTAAGAACAACTTGAATCCCAGTTTAATGGTATGTTTTTCATAAAGCGGTACGTTTCATTGTAATTTTTAAATGTTGTTTGACAATTGCAACTACGGTTATAAAAATATTTTGTTCTCTCAAATGAGGCATAACAGTTTAAATCTGGCCAGGAACCTGACCTGAATAATTCAAAGAAACATGACAATAATGAATAAGAAAAGATTAAATCACTAAAGCCCTTTTACAGTGATTACTGCAGTATTTTAATAGTCTTTCAAAACCAAACGCTTTGTTATAGTTCTAGATAAATCCTAGATGCATAGCTTGATTATGGGAAGTATGGGGAAAGAGAAAAGGAGAGAGACTATAATTGTTTTCCTTTAATTTATAAAGACACAATACTTTGTCATAACAAAAAATGCCACATTTTATGAAATGGCATGCTATGAAAGAATACACTTTTGAAAAGCATATGTTCCTCTGTCTGAAAAATGTGTCCAACTCTACCACAAAATAATTCTATCCCAACACAGAAAAATGCTTAGATACAGCAAAGCACAATTTTTGGCTGACTATCTAATATACAGTATGTCTGCATTCTAAATAAAGGTACAGTATATGCCATAAGGAAGCCAATCTGCTATTAAGCTGAATGGAGATTTTCTCTTCTCTATACTTTAAAGCTAGACTTAAGCATGGGATGTGAGATCCTACCGGCCATCTTACGGTGGGTCAATCCTGTGTTCCAACATCCCTTATCTCCATTACAATTTTGGAGATTTAATTTGGAAATGCACATAATCCATATATAGTAGTGCTGCTCTTACCAAAACACCCCACCCACAAAATATTCTTTCAAGACTGATTTGCTTACCATAGTTACGGAGAAAGGATTTTCATGGATATGCTTATCTAAGCCACATCCAGTTGGACTGGATATGGCTATAATTCCGTGAGTTCCTGGGAATACATCCAAGATGTCCAAAGTAAAAGGAAATTTCATGGGGAATTGAGATAAATGAAGAATATACACCAATGTCTATATACCAATGCACAGAGTATGAGGAATAAAGAGGGCGAATTAGAAATTCAAGTAAATGAGGGCAGATGCGATATTGTTGCCATTACAGAAACTTGGTGGGATGAAACCCACAAATGGAACATACAGCTAGAAGGATTTAAATTATTTAAAAGAAATAGACCAAATAAAAGAGGAGGTGGAGTTGCACTATACGTAAGAAATAATTACCTCTCTACAGAAATAGAGCACAACAATGATGAGAACTATCTTGAATGCATTTGGGTCAATATTAAAGGTTGGGGGGGGAAATGACATTGCCATAGGTCTATACTACAGGCCACCCAACCAAGCAGAGGAAGGAGATGAACTTTTTGCTAGTCAGCTAACTAAGGTATGCAGGAAGCACACCACAATAGTGGTGGGGGATTTTAACTACCCTGACATCAACTGGGAAACAAACTCTGCACCAAGTTGAAGATCCAACAGGTTCCTAACAAACCTTGCAGACAACTTTGTTTCCCAAAAAGTAGAGAAGGGAACAAGGGGATCGGCCATATTGGACTTAATTCTCACTAACAGAGAGGAAATGATAGAAGGTGTCGAAGCCACAGAAACCCTGGGGGCAAGAGACCATGCAATATTGGAATTCAACATTATGCAAACACAAGTAGTAGAACTAAGTCAAACTAGAGTCTTGGATTTTAAGAGAGCTAACTTAGAGAAAGGTTGGGAAGAATTCCATGGATGAGAATCCTCAAGGGGAAAACAACTCAAGAAGCTTGGGAGATCTTGAAAAATGAGATTACAAAAGCCCAGTCTAGCACAATGCCAATGAAGAAGAAAAATAACAGCTCCCAAAAGAAACCAGCATGGCTGCATAAAGAACTCTCTGACAAATAGACAAACATGCTTTTCTCAGGATGCTCCACCCTCTGAAATTCTTCTCTAAGGCAGTCCTCTTCCTTTGTCAGTCTTCAAATCACAGCACAAGTTGTTGGAAAAGATGACGATTGCTGTGTATATTGTTTAGAAATTCCTTGAAGTTGCCATGCCAAACTTTTGGAAGGAGAGAGCCACCTTATTGCTGTGAAGAGCAATTTCTGAAAGTCTATTTCTTTCAAAGGCTTCCAAATTAAAAAAAAATTCATTTATTTATCACATTTATAAAACCACCCATCACACAAATGTGAATAGACTACAATTGCAAATACAGTCATAGCATTTTTTTCTTTTATTAAATCCTGATACTAATCAAAATTGTGAATTGTAACACCCTCCCCTTTTTGTGAGAGTTAAAGTGAAAACTGGAGTTTCCCTGTTCAGAAATGATGACACTGTTAACTACTAACTGCCACCTTATACCAAGCTTGAGAAAAGTAAAATCTGGCATCCATTACAGGGGGAAAGCAGAAAAATCAATGTCAGATATAAATTGCTGTGGGAGAAGGAGGAACTGAATTCTCATACGGATATAGAGAAATCAACTGCTTAAGTACTTTTACCCTAATATGCAATAAAAAAAAATCTTATTTATGTATCATGCTGAGGATGTGGGCTGTTTTTGAGTTTGAACCCTAGCCCTTTTATTAAAATATAAAATATTTATAATTTGAAAATAAAATATTTATACTTTTGATTGCAAAACTGTCTAAGTGTCTCACACAACATAATCTACATCAGTAACACAAGAGTGTGTAATAAATGAAAAAGGCATAAAACCATTAGTAATCCTAATTAAAGAAATAGCAGGAAATGCTCTATATTAGAAATGTTATTTTTAATAACAGACGTTTTTATAGTTCTTATATACCACTGTGATCTTACCGTAAAAATTTATTTTTCCCAATGTCCAGAGCACCATGGCTACAAATTGTAATAAATTTCTTAGCAGCTTCTTAATCATAAAAGATCAATGAGAAAACTGAAGTGGAATTCAATCAAATGTATATAAATGGGTTTCAAACTGCTTTATCTCTGACTAGAATGTGGTTTTCATTCAAGGACCCAGGTAAACTGGGACAGTAGTCAAGTAAATTCAGATAATCTGTACCATTACATATTGAATTGTGATGAAATCAGAGAATAAAAATCAGTATTATAAGATTGAATTCTTTTTGAAATTTCTAGCTTTGTGCCTTTGAGCGAGTACATGCAGACTTTACAAGAAGTTAATTTTTTCAGCTAATGAATATGCAAAATCAGAAGGAAATTTAATCTATCTTCATTTTTTAATCTTTACTCTGAATATTGATTGTAGTACAAAACGTTAAGGATTTTTCAAAAATATAAATTCATTGGTTATACCACTCACCACCATGGAAGAGAAATTCACCAAAGAGGCATTTTGATTTCCAGGGTTGCACTTAAAATTCAAGGATTGGTCTGTTTCTCTGCTCTTTGTGTCAGAATTCAACCTCAACCTCCCTGGATTAGCGGGTAGTTTTTGGAAAGCAATACAAGTCATGCCCACGAAAACGGATGGCTTGATCCAAAAGGCTTCCAGAGCAATGTTAAGAGAAACCTGTCAAAACAAATGTGAAAAATCTTATATTTTAAATGTATAAAGTTGGTCCTTTCATGCCCAGATAGGTGGAAGGGCAGCAGGAAGTGCAAGGGGTTAGTCTATTAGCCACCTCTAATTTGGTCCTCCCCTATTGAGGCCGCAGGCCAAACAGCAGACCCAGGTCTTCAGACCAGAGTTCCTTGTCAGGATCCACACCAGGCCTCCTTTGCCGGCACGAGTAAGGGGGGGGGGATTAACTTAGCGGGAAAACACAGTTCATCAAATAACCTGGACTGATGCCATGGAGGGTTTTAGGTTTCCTTGTTGCAGACAAGAACTTCATTGTGCAGTAAACTGATCACAGTGAGAACAGATGCTCTCTTAAGATTTGCTAAGGACCCAATCCAGTTAGTTACGAGTTGACACAGGCATTGGTTGTGTTATGTTCTACTACTGGAAATATTCAGAAGATGTCCTATTACAGAATATAGGAATGACGTATTGAAAGCCAAAGGTTTCCTACACAGTACCGCATTTTTCGGAGTATAAAACACACCGGAGTATAAGACGCACCAAGGTTTTGAAGAGGCATTTTTAAAAAAAAAGTAGGTTAGGGAGGGAGAGAGAGAGTAGTTAGGTAGGTAGATAAAGGGATAGAGAGAGAGAAATAGAGAGAGATAGAGAGATACAGTAGGTAGGTAGGGAAAAAGAGAGAGGGTGTAGGTAGGTAGAGGAATAGAGAGAGAAAGAGAAATATAGAAGATAGGGAGAGAGAGTGAGTAGGTAAGTTGGTAGGTAGAGGGAGAGAGAGAGAGAGAGAGAGAGAGAGAATGAGAGAAATACAGTAGATAGGGAGAGAGAGTAGGAAGGTAGGTAGGTAGGTAGGTAGGTAGGTAGGTAGAGGGATAGAGAGAGAGAAATAGAAAGAGAGAGAGAAAAATACAGTAGATAGGGAGAGAGAGTAGGTAGGTTGGTAGGTAGAGGGACAGAGAGAGAGAGAGAGAAATAGAGATAGAGAGATACAGTAGGTAGGTAGGGAGAGAGAGGGAGAGTGTGTGTAGGTAGGTAGATAGAGGGATAGAGAGAAAGAGAGAGAGAAATACAGTAGATAGGTAGGGAGAGAGTAGGTAGGTTGATAGGTAGAGGGATAGAGAGAGAGAAATAGAGAGAGAAATACAGTAGATAGGTAGGGACAGAGAGAGGGGG